GGGGAGGAAGAATGAGATGAGAGAAAGGGAGAAAGGGGGGAAGAGATAGAAACTTATCTTTATGCCAGACATCAGCCAAATGATTCAGTCTCAGTTCATGATCCCCAAACCTCCATATTTTAATTACACATTCGTTTTCAAGCTACGGTCCCTACTGATCCTTCAGGGGGAAAAGCTCATCGTTTGGCTACATTGGAGGTAATGGGACAGAAGTCCGATTTTAATTCTATGGGGGAAAAAAGCTATATCATAAAAGCTGTATTTAATATCTTGGCCATTTCAGTGCTGTAGTGAGAGAAAACAGTCCTCACTTAGGGAACTATTAATTTCATAAAGCTACTAACTCTCACTCTCTTGTGGACATATGCCAAAGAACCGCTTAGCCATATCTGCAGAAAGTTGTGGTTGTGCTTTTAACCGCTTGCAGCATAAATATAAAGCGCAAGTTTCTTTTTATTGCCACCAAGCTGGCTGAGGGTACATGGCCAAGGCAACAAGCTTCCTGTCAATAAGTGAGGCTTGTGATGTGGACTGCCAGCATTGGATAGATTGCTCAGTTTTTCCCCTACACTGATAGGAAATTTCATCAAATCAACAGTCAGGCATTTAGCCTTTGATGAGAGCAGAATCAATAGTTGGCATTGCTGTTTCTGCCATAATTCTAAACTGCATACGATATGGATTTGTCTTAAAAAATTACCTTACTACAGAAATAGAAATGTTCAGTGGTGCAGGGGAGAACACAATCTGTTATGTGATAATGAAATTAAATTAAATTTATTGCTCTAGCTGGAGAATGCGCTTTATAGTGAAATTTATTTTTGTTTCTGCTTCTTTAATTTAGTTAGACATTTAAGACTTTAAGTATTGTAAGCAAGGTATCATGGCAACAACGGGGCATGTAGAATAGATTTGGCTGCACAGTTAATTTGTTACTTTTTTTGCTTTTATTACTGAAGCGTGTTTTACTTATTATAGAAATACACTCATCAATATTAGAGAAAGAAGTACAGGGTTTGGATTAGGCACAGTGGACCTTAAGACGATCACAGCACTCGGCTGATTCTCCCAATCAGCCAGCCGGAACAGCCGTCACCGCAAGCAGTGCGATCGCCCCCAGGAAGAGAGCCGGGATAAGAGATAAGAGATGTCTGGTCACATAAAATGGATGAAATAAGACCAACTAACTCAGCAATAGGACATCAGAGACTGCTGTACCCTCATCTTCACTGACACGTTCCACGCTGACAGAACATAAGACTCCAGTAAGAGGAGAGGAGGCAGGTTCTGTGTTTACATCTATGATGCTTGGTACCCACATGCAGTTACAGTGGATAGACAATGGTCACCAGATGTGGAATTTTTACTGTTATAATGTCGGCCATATTATCTGAGAATTCACCAGTGTGTTTGTTGCTGCCACCCAGAAGAATCATGTCAGTCTTGAGGAATATACATTATCAGTGACATCAGCAAATGTGTAGTTGATGTGATGATACCAAGGACAGTAAAATGGAGACTGAATGAAGAATGGACACCACACATCCACCATCATAGGCTGTATTTAAAACAACGAGGAGACTTCATATCGGGAGGAAATCAACAATCTTGCAAAGTGGTGCTCAGAGAACAACCGTCTGCTCAACGTCAGCAAAACCAAGGAGCTTATGGTTGATTTTAGGAAAAAAGAGGCAAATACACACCACTGTAGATAAAAAAAACAAAAGAACAATTCTTATTTCCAGGCCATTTCCACAATGAAAACATGCCTATGAATATTATATTCCATTTCTACCAATAGATCTCACTAAATGTTACACACTGGACCTTTAAGAAGTGTGGCTAATATCAAAACATGAGCCTTTCTCTGTACCAGCCATCCTACGTACTGATCTCACAAATCTCATCACAGTTTCACAGAACTTTAGCTTTAAATTTAGCTCACCACTGACATAAATCTGAAGAGAAACACCATCCATCATCTTAAAATACGTCCATAAAGTCTTGTTTTATTGTTTAGTTAAGCATCTTATTTATCCAATTTCAATTCTGACATTGGTTGACTATACCACATATACTCTATTTCACGAGGGCAGCAGGAGGTGTGTTATATTATTCAATAGGACTGTATAAAACAAAAGATACTACTTTATCATTTCAAGCCCAGTATAATATACCTATACAGTAAGATACCAACATCAGGATTGCCTGGCAATGTTCCAGTGTGAAGGGGAGAAATCATACACCACCAGTTTGCTGCCATCAAACTAGAAGACAGGATTTATGATACTGAAATCCAATCAAATCATGGGACACTAGCTGTAGATGTGAGGTTATACAGTGTTATCCAACTCACCTAGCTTATTTGCAAAGACAGGCATGAGGGACGGAACGAGGGTGAACTGGGAGGACAGGATGGAGTAGAAGTGCTGCAGTATTTGAGCGTTGGGTGCACGCTCACACATCCTCTACACAGACACACACAAACACACAGGCAATCACAGACAAATCACCATTCTTGTCTGATTGATTTTTAGCCTGAATAGAACCAACTTTAGAAATATATAACAGAGGTACTGATGGATGTCTGTGTACAAACTAATGAAGACAGAGGCTGTGTTGCTGTGCTTATTAATGCAGTTATTTAGAGGAACAGCCAGACAGAGTAAGTCAATTATTGTGACCTATTTTTCAGAAAAGAGATGGGACAAATTGTAGGATCATTCTCTCAGCTGATTAGTTACAAGTGTGTGTCACAGAGAGACGGAAGTTTAAGATGAGATACATAATGAATCGGATGCGTGTACTCTGTGTGTGTGTGTGTGTGAGTGCTTCCAGCTCTCACAATGACAGTGGGTATCCAGACGGAGTCACAGCAGCGCAGCAGACACTGACACAGAGACTCCAGTGAGTCCTGAGCATGGCCATGTTTAGATGGAGCTGTGAACGTGTTCTCCTTCAGAAGAGGCTCTGATGCACACTCCTCAGCCAACCTTGGACACACATGTACACAATAAATACAATCACACCACATACCAACTCCCTCATCTACATTTCAATTTAAAAACTCCGCTGGTGGGATGAAAATATTACACTGGAGGACTTCACAATATTCACATTTTGCATATCAACTGATTTAAAATACTTCAATCAAGTCTTTCAGAAACAAGTCAGATTTCTTATTGGTATGAAAAAAACAAACCTTAAGATATTTTGAAGTGCAGGTTCAATAAAGAATGACAAAACAACCAAAGACTGAGCACTTTGTCTGTACACTAGTGAGTCAGTTTATTCACGTCCCAGTGATCCCATTTAACTCTTAGAACATGTCTGAACTGGACAATGCCCTGACCTGCAGGCAGCCTGAAAACAGACCAGCGCCTGGAGCAGAAATCCTTCGGACCTTGAAGCTTGACTACTGTGGTCTGACCTCTTCAGACTGCCCTGAGGACGAAAGAGAGAGAGATGAGGGGAAAGCTAAAGAACCCAAGTGAGACTAAAGAGGAGAGAAGAGACTAGAAGTAGAGCAAGAGACAAATCTGATCACATCCTATCACATCACAAACAAAATAATCATCCTATCAAAGCAAATCGCCCAAACAGATCTATATGAAACTTCTCCATTAAGACAGACCCTGAGAAAACCCTGAGATCTTTCTGTGTTTCTTCAGTGAAAGTTCCTATTGACACCTGGTATAAAGACAAATCTTAATATTGTATCTGTATTGTGTCTCAGTGTGATTAAAGAGGTTCTGCACACTAAACGTTTTTTGAGCCGTAAACTGAATTATATGACTATACTGTGATGAAACCATCAATGCTGGTTGAAAATCTGCATTATGTGGCTTAAAAACGGCTCAGCATGCCCTCTTCTGTTTTAAATCACACTGTACGTTTTAAGACAAATGCTGAGATAGAGACTACCGTTTGGGTTTACGTCACAACAGTTATATACAATACAATATAATACAATATATATAACAATATACAATATACAATAACGTTAACGCCCTATGCTGATCTAGACGCATCATTCACAGGAGTTTATGCTAGTTTTTGCTAACCATCGACTTCATATTTTTATATTCTGGTGCAGTGATTTGGGCTGCTATCACAGCTGTCACATTGACAGCCCCCTGACAGACACACACACAAACACACACACACTGAAGAGTTAGCCTCTCTGAGCCGCTAGCTCAGCTACCACACAGAAACTTTTACAAACAGCCGACAATGTGCTTCTAGTGACGGTAAAATCTCCGGCGCACTCTCTGTGTTTCCAGCACAGACACGGAGACTCTGACAGCAGCTGCTCAACATCTCTCTGTTTCTGTGACGCTGCCATTGTCAGTCTGTCAATCACTCCGGTCTGTGTTGAGGACACGCCCCCTAAAGTCACTGTCTTTTGCAGGTCTCTGATGCACTTTTTAAATTTGCCAAGAGGGAGTGAGCGGGCAGAACTGAAGGGTTTAGTTACACTTTTAAGTGAAATACATTTATTGTTTAAGTAGGAGCATGAATACATGCCAACCAGCCATATGTTGCTGACATTCGCATCACTGTCCCTGTTACAGGCGCAACGCTCTAGTTTTAAGACAGGTATCAGGATTCCTGTCTGAAACAGAAGAGAGCAATGAGGGACAGCTATGAAAAAACAACAGAAAAGACCTTCAATCCTTCATGGAAGACTGAGTTCCCCTTGATCGAACATGTCAATCACATATGTAGTGGGTGACGTGTTGCTTGATATATCTAGACAGATACGTCAGAGTCAGTGGCACTGATTGCTCACATACAATTCTCTGGAGAATCACCTCAAGAGGAAGTCCTAGACAAACGGCACAGACAGGCCTCTTCACCACCAGTCCTTGAATTATGTATCTTATATACTTTATTTTATATTTGTGGATAAAACAGCAACACTAACTCACAGAGCTTCGATGATGATGAGCAGAAGAAGGTAGTGGCAGCTCAGAGAATCTGTTAGTGATGGCTTCTATCAATCCCTCTATCTCCCTGTACTGGACTGGTCTGGACTGGTGGTTCAGGCTGGAGATATCAAAGAGTGGCAGCAGTTTATACGAAACAAACACCTCACATTAAATTTCACTGTATGATTTTTTTAAGTCTGTGGTGAGGGAGGGAGGACAGTGAAGGGAAGAGACAGACAGGGGGACATAATGTGCATTTCTGAGTAAGTGTGTAAGTTTAATGATTAACAGCCCTACAATTCAGGTTAGTATTACACATGATGTAATGAAAAACCCATGGTAAATACTGTCCAGCGTCAACCAAAGTTAGCAACAGCCTCCCAGGTGCACGTGCATAGGTGCAGGCTGCATTACGGGTTTGTTTTGTGTCAATGAAAACATGACGGAAGGCAGTGGCAGCACTCCCGAGATTCTGAGAGGACTAAGTCCGGTCGTATTTTGATTTGTGTACGAGTGCTGAGTCAAAATTTCGAAAGAAAATCGCCACAAAAGGGGCAAGACTTCAAATCTTGCGAAATCATCTTCATAACCACCACTAACGGAAGCTTTTAGTGTTACCTTCTCTCTAAAGTGCAAAGTGCTCCTAATTTTTTTGGTGGTTTTCAATATAAAACTTGATGTGAAATGATTTCAGTGTGTGTGTATCAGTACAATTTGACAAAACTGCGTTAATATTGATAACCGTGATCATTTTGGTCACTATAATCATGATCACGATATCTAGCTCATAGTATGGGTTTGCCAGAGGGTATAAAGCTTACAAGACGTGTCTTTGAAAAAGATGCCTGGATCACTTTATCCTCAAGTAAATCTATGCATCTGAGTGTGTGTGTGTTCTCTACTGTACCTGTGACACTGTGTGGGTGTGCGTGTGTGTACTGTATATGTGCATTCATTTGTTGATGAATGTAAGTGACTGTGTGAATAACTGACCTGAGGGTATCATTCATAACAAACATTTCTGGAAGGACACTACTGAGAAAAAACTTCGTCAATCACAAGAAAAAAGTTAGGAATCCTCAGTATTGGCTGCACCAGTGTCCTTGATAATATCTGAATTATTTACGTATCTACAGTGTGAGTGTTTGTGTATACCTGAACAGGGCAGTGGCAGCGTTGGCAGCCTGTGTGGCAACCAGCAGGCAGGAGGAGGAGACTCCAGCTACCACGGCCTCTGAAACCGCCACAAACCCTGGGGCACTGGGGAACAGACGCACGCCTGGGGGCTGCCTGTACACACACAGACACACACACACACACACACACACATACACACACATACAGCACCACCCCCACATCCCCAAAAATTACAGTGCATTCTTTCATAGATAATCAAGTGCTATTGTTAAATTGTAGCCGAGCAGCTAGAGGAACCGATCCTAAACTAGACAGAGAAACAGACATCTATGATCAATTATACAGGAAACACTGTTGTAAGCAAATACTTAAATATGGGGACAGTTAAAAATGGTATGGTGCTGTAGATGACTCAGTGAGAACTTTGCCAAAAGGACAGAGAAAGAGAGCGTCTTTTTAGGAATTTTTGCTGATATGGGTTTTTGACATGGATGTCAATAAAGGCCCGTCAAAAAGCTGACTGTTCTTTTACCTGATCTATTTATCATTCTTTGGCTTGCTATGCCAATACCAGCAGTGCCTGTTGTTGCTGAGGCGTAATGAACCTGTCCTCGCTCTGTCTCACTCACCTACACACAGACACTAATTTTCTCTCTTTTGGGGCAGGGACACATAATAAACAAATAGCGCTGACCTATTGGCGTTACAAAGATCACCAGAGTATGCCTCTGGTCTATGACGCAGCACTACAACAGCTGTCGACTGACTCCCTTGTTGCCACAACAGTAGTCGCATAGAACATCCTAAACAACACATGCATACCTATAAAGGTGCACACAAACACACACACACACACACAGTGGTGTTTAACAATCGATGCCAACACATAAAAAACAGCCACAAACGCGCATAGGCACAGACACGCACACAAATACAAAATGCACTCACTTATATACATGCACTGTAAAGAAACACGGTAAGACTCTCTCTCTCTCTCTCACTCTCACACACACACACACACACTATAAGCTTGTTCAGCACTTTAAGAGCTCTGGTCTAGCTACTTTGTTACTGTTGCACTCAGTGTAAAGGACAAATTTCCCTCACCATTTGACACCTCTTATCCCCTGTATCATTGCTATGTGACAGGTGGAACATTCCATTAAAATTATGTGAACCTTGCAGAAATATGGCAGTGTTTTACTGGCTCGTGATATATTGTCATCCGCGAGCCAGCAGACAGTTAATTCAAATATAATTAAACTTCCCAGTGCACCATATTTAACGTTTTACAAGAGGTCGGTTCTCGGCCGGTGTAGCTGAAGTTGTACATGCTTCGTTGTTTGAGTACAAACATACGGTGGTGTAAAAATCAATAGCATAATTGTGTGTGTGGTTCTGGTGATATAAACATGTATAGGCTTCATAACTACAAATGAGAACACTGTGTTTCAGTTCCAATGTAATAAGTTCTGAAATGCCACAAAATGAAAAATACAAATAAGAAAAATGTCATACATTCATAAATAATGTAATAATATTACACTATATCATTAACTGGCAAGTTTTACAAACTGAAACAGACAGTGATTAAGTCACTGGGTCAACATACTCCATGCAATTGTGTAATAATTAAGTGAAATTAACAACATATCGTTCACAAGTTCAGTAGGCTATAGTAATAAGTGCTAATTAATACATACAATACATACAAGCAAACTATTTCCTCAGTTAAAAATATTTTCCAATGAAAGCTATTTACTGTGAAGTCTGTGGATCATCCAGTGTAACCAGGACATTGTTTCTAAAAAGACTTACTGCTGAGAAACATGTCTTCTCAATGCTGGAGAAATATCTGCAGCAAATATTTTAAAACATTAATAAATAAACTCTCAACTGTCTTTTGTGATTTAGCTGAACTGACCCTTTACCATACAAAGGTGTAACAGTAATTCCGTTTGCATGCAACAGGGACTTTTTTGACAAAAATGTCAGTGTGGAAGACAGCTGCAGGTAACTGGGACATCTTAACTGATCCATAATTATTTTTATTTGCTGCAGCTGTGTCCCCTCCTGTGATATGACAGTGCTCTGTTGGAAGTGTAGAGAAGCTGAGATGTAGTGACAACAGTTTTAGTCAGTGAGCAAAGATGCACAGTACAGGAATTTAGCAGGGAACATACAGGTCCAGTGCAGTGGAATAATTCTGGCATTGGGAAAGCTAATAAAGCTCCAAAACAAACTAGAATTACTGCCTGGTGGTCATATGCCTCCTCCAACCAGTTAAGTTGCAGTTTACATCCATGTCAGCCCAGACTCATATAATATTTCTAATGAAGACTTTGAGGGAATTATATAAAAGATATATAGTTTCAGTTTTTGGCAAACAGAAGAATGATATTAGTGAATATGTATGTTTGAACTCATTAATGGTGTGACTGATTAACACTCATCATAGATATATTGTCTAAATGTAGTGCTTTTGTTTTCTCCTGGCATTTTGAAACCTCTCTACGAGCTGTAGGTGAAACTCACTCACAGAATCAGGATAAGCTAGTTGCGCTCCAATACATTGTTTGCAGTCACGTGATTTTGACGATGCTTCAGAATGAGGCAGGAAGTGAAGAAATAATGAGATGGAAAGATGACAGCCCGTACTGTGCTAGTTATTTTTATCGTACTGTGTCATCCTAGACAATTCATTCTTAAATGATGACTAAAAATCTATTTTGAGGTCGCAGTCACAGTTTCAGTGTCC